TACATTAAATTTTATTGGAATTTAAATTATATTAAAATATAAAATTAAAATTTTAAAATAAAAAATAAATCCCTTGATATTTGTCCTCGAGAAAAGTGATCTACCTCCACAGCCTATTTCACATTCATCATATATTTTGGATAATTACATTAAACTTCATCAAAATTTAAATTATACCAAAATATAAAATCAAAACTTTAAAATCAAAAGTGAACCCTTTATATTTATTCTCGAGCAAAGTGATGCTCCAACCACAACCTATTTCACATTCATCATATATTTTGGGAAATTACATTAAATTTCATCCAAATCTAAACTATATCAAAATATAAAATGAAAACTTTAAAATGAAATGTGAACCCTTGATATTTATCCTCAAGAAAGTGATGCTTGAAACCACAACTTATTTCACATTCATCATATATTCTTGGTAAGTACATGAAATTTCATCAACAAAGTCTTAACCGAATCGAAATATAAAACAAAAACTTTAAAATGAGAAGTGGTCCATTGATATTTGGCCTCTTCACATCCAAATTTTCTGTTTTTGCAGTCCGGCAAAAAGAGACTTGTTCATCAGTGAATTAAAAATAAAGAAATTAAAATAAAGAAAAATTCAAGGAGTCTACTTTTAATGATCTGTACAGCACTCCTCCGCAAACTGAGCACGACGCAAGAACCGTGTAATTGAAGCAACAACCATCTATCCACAAGAGACTGGAGAAAACTGAAATCAAAAAATGGCGGAAGGCTGAGGGGATCGGCGATCGGAGAGGGCAAGGTTAGCCTGAGCTTGGGAGAGTTGATCCGTGAGGGCGATGATGCGAGCGTTGGAGTCACGTGCCAGTTGAACGGACTCCGCCTCCAGGTCTCCCAGCTGCGAGCAGAGCCTCTCCTCCGCCTCCTCCGCTACTCTCAGCCTCTCCCACGCCTTTTCTAGCTCCTTCCTCATCATCTCCTCCCTCTCTTTGCTCTCCTTCAGCTCCCTCTCCAGCTCGCCGTTTCTCGTCCTCAACTCTTCATCTTCCTTCACCGACTTCGGATTAGCCACAGCGATTGATGGAGCCATTAGCGCAGTATTTGGATAACGAAGAATGGATATGTGTTCTGTTATGGCACTATGGCTTTGCTGTTTCGCTCTTGGCTGAAACAATATAGCGAGGGAGGTTATGCTTATGTAGCCGGAGACCAAGTTGGGAAGTTGCGTTTGGCTGAATGAAAATGATCAAATGAAAGGGATTCCACCATGCGAGAAAGTTTGTTGTACCCCGAGATATCATGTTAGTGATATCCCGACCAATCACAATGTGCCATATTATCGCTTTTTCTTCTATCTCATTAGCTACGTCAGCACTTTTTTTCCTTCCTCAACAGTATCCATTAATAAAGTGGAAAAAAATGATAACGTGACGTACTAGGATTGATTAGGAATATCATTGATGTGAATCCCAAGACATAACAGGTTTTCTATCATTATTATTATTATTTTTTGAAAATGGTTTTCTCTCATCATTGACCAAACATACTCGGGACTTATTTGGTGTAATTTGTTGAAATTTTTGTTTTTTTTATTGTTTATAAATGATAAATTTAAATTTTTATTGAAAGAAACTCGGGACTTATTTGGTGTAATTTGTTGAAATTTTTGTTTTTTTATTGTTTATAAATGATAAATTTAAATTTTTATTGAAAAAAAAATTTAAAAATTATTTTTAGTGATAAAAAAATGAGTAAAAATAAAATTTATAAAAAATCTAAATTTGAAATTTTTGATCTTTTATTATTTAAGATATTTTTAAAATTAAAAAAA